GCTTGTTCATCCACACAGGCCTCCATCTGCTTTTACCTGACTTTCCCTTCACTGCGATGCATCGATCCTGAGCTTGGAGGAGAAGGTCCTTGAATACTTGCCAGCTTTCTTGGGCCCCTCTTCCCTCCAGGGCTTCTTCCCAAGGAACCTTCCCAATCAGTTCCCTGAATATAATATACACCTCCAATCCTGTATTACCACACAATCTTTCACTGGCTTCATCCATTTCCCCTCCCTTCAAAATTTAACAACTTTCCACACCACACCGGTCCCCAGTGAGTATACAGCCAGTACTGGAGATGAACAGCTCAGACAAGCTAACCTAAGTCAGCAATATTTGATACACGAATAAAATAGAATTACAGTGTCTAGAGTATGGATGCTATAATTTGTCATATGAAAACCTGTACTAGACTTTTTAATCGTAAACTACAGCATATCATCCAAAAGCCAGGACTGCAGGCTGCAGGTTCTCTGAAGCCAGGAACATTCCAAAAAGTTCATTAGGCTCCCAGAGCCCAGAATTGCTAATGACAACATTCACAGAAAGAAAAAAAAAAAAAGGCTTGAGGAAGAAGTCTGCTTCTCCCACAATATTCTCAGCTGAGCCTCCTCATGGAGAGACACAGCATAAACTGAAAACTCCAGGAGCTCTCCTAATGCTTCACCACTGGAACCAAGCCACTACTTACTTTTAGTACATAAGGTATATAATAAACCTATCAGGGAAATTGGGAGACATGCCCTATAAAGTTGTTTTCCTTTCTGTTCAGACTTCAGTGAAAAAAAAAAAATCTGATATTCAAGAGCTCTAAAGATCAGAGCAGTTTCACAGCAGGTATGTCTTCTCTAACAAGGTAGCTTCTTTCTTCCTTACACTCTTAAATGCTCCCCAGACAGCAACATCTGAAACAGAAAACTCACTAATGGAGTCATTCTGACATTTTCACTAGTGTTTCCAAGGCTATTTAGTAGTAATATCTCACACATGTACAAATCCCTACTCATGAACATAGGGAGGTCTCAACACTTGCTATAATGGAATATCCTATTCCTCTTCTATGGAAGCAGAAGTTACTCACAGTCAATTAATGAAATGCTCATAGTCATATAAAAAGCAGATTCAGAAACAAAAATCAAGATTCCTGCTTTTAGGATTTGAACAGTAATCATTATTTCTCAATACAATTTCTCATTCTTAATGAGAATGACCTATCTATATCATGAAGAGCCTTTAAACAGAATTATGACCTAAATTATGCCCTTTTTTTGTTCTAATTTATTCCCTTCCTTCTCTCTGGTGATATCTCCTTTTGAAGAGGCTATATTTCTTTATTAAAAAAAAATTTTTCAAATCTCTCCTCAAACTTGTTTGTTTCAATTGGGGAAAAAAAAAAAAAAAAAGAGTTTAGTTTCCAGCAAAGATTTAATGACACAAAGAAAAATGTACCTAGAAATAATTACAGGGACAAGTCATAAATTAGCAGTCATGCCAATTCTCAGGGCATGCTACAAAACCAAATAGAGTTACAAAGGGAAATGTATGATTACACCAAGCAAGTGCCATATTTTCAGCTAAATGTTTTTGCATCTGTACTCAACAACAATGAAATGAACCTACTACTCCCAAAGTAATCAGTCATCATGAGTGCTTTCACTCTGGATTTTTATCTAGCTACTTGCTTTTTCAAACCTAGATGCTTTAAATTACATCCCTCAGTCCACAGGTTTTATTTGCAGAGGTATTAAACTCCTACTAGTTTCACTGACATTTCTGTTAACATTGAGAATAAAGCAGACTTTTCATAAGAATTAGGTAGGTACACGTGGGAAAAACATCCCAGGGTATAGATTATTGCTGGCACTGCAATTAAACATGAAATGCTACAAAACTATCATATCAGAACTATTCACTATGATATGGTATTCTTTAAGAGATAGAAGAGATAATTAGAAAGTGGACAGAAATAAATGAATACATAATTCTAAAATAACTCGTGAACTCCTTATCCCTAGTCTGGACCATTTTATGCTCAGCTAGAAGATTACAAAACAAAGAGGATCTAACTACTCCACTTCGGGTGTCTTCTGCTTTTAGGAAGGAAACACCATTTGTAAGGGACTTTCTCACATCCTTGCATGGACACAGGGCCACAGCATGTAGGGACAAACTGTTTCTGAGGCAGCACAGTGACTTAGGATGGAGGGGCTTTCACAATTAGTAAGAACATGCAAGGTGATTTAAAGATTTGAAGACTATTCCATGTAGAGTGCGCTGCTTAGAAGCAAAGGATGGCACATCACTGAAAAAATAAAGCTTTTCATAAAGCCAACATGTAATCAGTTTAGTAGTTGACAATATTTCAATATATTGTATTTCATGGGTTTTATTGCTCTTTTACTTTGCAACAAATCCCAAAGAAACAAGGTTTGCAAGAGTTACAGGAAGAACTTGGGGACAGTAGGGATCAAGAAATACTTTGGGAGAATGAAATGGTCTGATTTCTTGAAAAGAAAGCTTAGGCACATCACTGGGGTAGGAAGAGGGAGTGTCCATGGAGTGTACGAGTTTGGGGTAAGCAAATACACCCACATGTAACTGGTAGGCTGGTGGCAATCCTCTTTTACCCATGATCTTTATTGTTATCACACGTACAGTACACCCAGCAGGTTCAAACTCTTCCTTAGTTGGTCCCTGCTGAGGCTGTAACTACATGTGTGTTCACTGGCTGTTTTCTTGCAAGCTGTCCTCTCCATTTTTGCACAGCTTCATAGTCTCAGTACATATTCTATTGTTTAAGTGAAATCAACTTCCCCTAAAACCTGTAATTTCCCTTTTTAAAAATTTACAAACTCATTCAGTAAATGTGTTGTATTTTTCAACTTTACATGATATCATCTCATTCTAATTTAAAGCTGAAAAAAGCTATAAAAGCCATAAAGAACATATTGCTGTGATATAAATATTTAATAGTAATGATCTACAAAAATGGACTTTACTATTGAACTACTTAAATGGATCTCTTGAACATGTAAGAAAATACTAGATTCAATGTTCCACTCTGTGATATATTACTTGCAGATAAAGACACAAGACTTAGCTGACTAGCTTAGAATTCTCATCTTGCATTTTGTTGGCATATTTTTACCCTTACCATCATTAAACACATTGTCCTCTTGTCTCACAGTATTACTATAACATAAGAACTCCAGAAACACAGCAACTCATACTTCCCAAGATATTGTTGAAAGCTAATGTACAGGCCAACCAGAAACATATGCAACAGGTTCTTATTAAAATAAATCTCATGTAAAGATTTTATTTTTCCTTCTGATGTCTCTTAATTTCTCTGGAAGAGTTTGCTTTTCAATAAAAGTGTATTAAGTATTGGAGCTAAATAATGTAAATTAGGAAGCTTTTTATTAAAAAAAAAAAGCCAAACAAAACACACACACATAAACAAACAAACAAAAACTTGAGGGGAAAAAAGCTTTCAAACAAAAAATTCCTTCTTTTGCTGCAGATTTCTTCAGCTTGCTTTCAGTATTTCCTGGAGGAGGCACTGCTGAGACAAATAATTTGCAAAAACATGTTGACTTCTTCCATTTAATTTAATATAAGGGAGAAGAAATTTGAATGACAAAATCTGTTTCTGCAATAAAAGGGTTAGCATCCTATCCAGATTGTCTGGAGATGGATGTAGATACTCAGTGCTTATTATGATCTGTTAAACAGTGGAATCTTATTCAGCACACTGTTACCCCTTGGATGCATTGACCTTCTCACATATTGTTCAAAGACAGCATGCAAAATGGCCTTCCATGAAAAACTGAAATGAAACAAAACACTGCAAATCAGTGGTATATAGCTTTAGAAAAGAACCAGAACACTGCAAAATGAATACACTAATACTTTAAAAAGACCTGCTCTCTTACTAGTACCGAGACTAAGATTTGGCTGCCAGTTTATTACCTCAACGCATTTGAGAGACAGCCATCTAGTGAGTTTTCCCTGCATCTAGTTGTCATTATTACTTGAAATTGCGCTATGGGTGTTCCCCCATGGCATCTCAGAACAAACTACTTGAAATTACCAAGGTGATTGCACTGTCTCTGCACTTCACTGTGAACTGGTAAATAGCTAAAGCTAATTTCATATACCAGCAACACACAGAACAAATCTAGAATTTTACCAGCTATACTGAAACTGCATTCAGTCCTCCAGCTATTTAAAATCAAATCAGTTATGAAGGAGAACACTGGAAATTAAATCCAGCTACAGCTCCAGGAACACCACAAAAAAGGCATATTATTAGATTTAAGGTTGTGATAATCGGTTTGCTTCACTGTGGTTGGTGTATTTAAAAACACATAGAGGAGAAAAAGCATAAAAACCAGTATTAACTACATGAAATATGTAGAGTAAGATGGTTCTGTGGGCTCAATTTCACTTGTATGTGGATACGTAAGGGGCAACTGAGAGGCTCAGAGTTGATACATCAGATTTACCAGTGCAAAAGCTGGTTGGAAAGAGAACAAAGAAGACGCCAGCTAGTTTATTGCCTACTGTTTGAATGCATTTTTAACGAGCGTGGATGCACAACAGTTCTGACAACAGCTTCCAAGAAGCAACTCCATAAAGATACACAAATAAGCATACATTTTACCGTCTGAAGTAAGAAGTCCTGGTAATGACCATAGTACTGTTTGCTGTTACAACTGACTTTTGATTAGATAACATCTGCAAATCGAACCCTTCAAGCTGTAAACAACAGTAAAAAATTTGCAAAGATAAGGTAAGCAAGCATCACTGATAGCCCTCTGCCTTGCTTACAGATGAACTCCTGAAAGAAACACCTTTCCCACTGAATTCCACTACTGTCATGGAGCCATTTTCCTTCCAAGGCTGGTTAAGTGATCATCGTGGCGAAATAAAACAGAAGAAATCTTTGAGTATGTTTGGAGATAACTTTGAAACAGAGGTATGGGGGAGTCTAATTTCTCTGAAAGAGAGGGATATATTTAAAGGTACAGATAATAGGTGCCTACTCTTCAGACTGAGTGAATCCAGGCCTGGAAACAGTATAGTCAGCAGAGAAAATTATGCAGCGCAACAGAGCAGTCTTAGCCTGCCCTGCCCTTCGGAAGCACCTCTCTTCATCCATTGCTTTGTCTAGCTTAGGGCAGGGGCTTTCTGCCTTAGATACTTCTGTTTGCAGAATCAACCTGAACCTTCTTTCCATTTATTTCCTTTGGGATTAAACCAGCTTGCTCTCTCCACTATCTGGCCCTACCATATTTCCCTAATCAGAAATACCAGCATGATGCAAATACTTAAAAGTATGTTTGGCTTCCCTATAAGTTTGAACAGCATTCTTGGTGCCAAGTCTAATCTGGATGTCTAAACACATTTTTTTTTCCTCCCCCTCAATCTCCATTAACTGGAAACAAGGGAAACTGGACAGCACAAGAGAGCCTGGGCTGTGCTAAAGCATTGCACTTCTCAGTGTAGTCAAACACAGTCTAGTTTGGGTGCAAATGAAGCTGTCACCATTTGATATCTGTGCTGTACTCACAATAGTTTACAAAACATTCTTTCCCTGGGTTACTTGGAGTCACACTCTGAAGAATCCAACACATTTGACAGCAAAGTGACAGAGTGTGGGACTGTCAAGAAGAACACAGAAAGGGCAGACAATAAGAAAAATAAGGTCCAGTCTGCAGCTTTTTTTAACATTAATAGAAGAATCTTTTCTACTTCAACAGGCTCTTGACAGGGCCCAGAGTTCATGAGGAGGAAGTGCCTGTTCCAAGAACAGAAGTAGGAAGGATATAGATGCAAAGCTGAGAGTAGGAGGAGGCAGAAGGAATAGATAAATGAGGATGCAGAGGAGCATAAGGAGTGGCAGGTGTGATCAGTTCCCTTTTTATCAGTAGGAATCAATATGAGAATACCAAACGTAATGTGAATTTTAATGTCTGTAAAAAAACCCCGTCATCTTCTATGAATATTTTTTCTGTAAAAGTAGAATGCTTTAAATGCTGTAGAAAGACAAATATGTATGCTTTGGTCACTGGGATGAATCCGTTACTTTCTTTCCTTTTTTTTTTTTTTTAAGGTTATAGCTTATGGACCAGGAACAACGGAGAAAAGTAAAAAGAATTCAGATATTTGGATATGGCAGCTGGTATGTGACAATCCACACTTGTTAACCGATGAGTTCATGTTACAGTTCAGAGCAGACTGAACAGTAGTAAAGCCTTCTAATACCAGCAGCAGAAATTAAAATTACCACCTTCCTTCTCATTGAAAATATCATCAACAAGCACCACACCCTTCAGCTTTAAACTATGATGAAAAAGAGTCAACTGCTGCCACCCTAAAAATAATCCCTCTTCTTTCTCATCTTGTCTGTTGAGGACAGAGATATTGACATCCTTCATCAGATCTTGGTGGGGATTTTTAATGTACCCTACCTGGAGTATAGCCTATAAATACATCAGAATGCCTCAGCGATAAAAAAGCATCACCTGTTACTTCTGCCCTGAAGCATTTGCCCTCATACTGAAGTCAAACTGGAATCAGGTAGACTAAGCAAATAGAAATCTGAGTACTTGTTTATACCAAAGCAGTGGTAGGTAATCCAGATGCCTTCCATTCAGCTGGTGTCTAGGAAACATTGCAGCCCAAGGGAGGAGACAAAAAAAAAAAAAAAAAAAGAGAGACAGAGAGAGAAGCTAGTTTTCATTTACACAAGTCAGCTAGTTTGGGAGGCAGATATTTCTATCAGTTTCTGTAGAAATAGTAAATAGTAATTAAAGACATAATAATATTGAAAGACGTGTTTACACTGCAGCTTACAGCAGCCTGTGTAATCAAGCCCTTGTTGCTGGCAAGAACCTGGCTCCTCTGCTTGACAAGATAACGATGAGTCCATCCCAGTGTGGATGTGCTCCCATTAGCAATTCCTGTCAGCTCCCTGCTGACTTGTGAACTGCTTCTCAAGACTTAAAAAGGTATTGGGAATCAGAAAAGTAAAAGAGGAGCTTGAAGCACACCAGGAGGTTATCTCTGTAATTTCCAAAGCTGTACCAACTTGCAGGCTGCTAAGGTAGCAGTGTACCAATCTGTGTCCAAGAGTCAGGCGCTGGGTTGCTGCTTTGTGATGGGGAACAATGAACCATGACGCATGTTTTTATTGATGATAATAGTGTCAGACAGGGAAGATCAGCTGAATATTTAGCTAGGCCTCATGAAACACAGCATGTTTGAAATGCTCTTTCAGTGGGAAGGATTTCCATACTTACCTGCAGGACTTACTTTCTGCTAGTGAAAGGACATGGAAAATTAAAAGCCTGTTATCTGTTCTTTCCCTTCAGGAGGGCACATCGACTGTTACCATGGATGGTAAAACCCTGACTCTATCTGCTGGTGACAGCCTGCTTGTCCGTGCCCAGTCCATGTGAGTGGATACGAACAGTGGTCCAATGCGCAATTTCCCAGGTTTTGGCAACATAAATTCTGTGTATTTGGTCCACACGAGGCTGGGCATCAGCTGGTGCAGAAACACAGCATCTGCGAATGCAGGATTTGCAATAGCTTCCATTATTCCTTAGTGTCTTCAGAAGGAAACAAAGCCAGACATTCATTCTAGTTTCACCTCTTATGATTAAAACTGTGTGAAATAAAAAAGATAAGCACTACCAAGAAAAAGCAGCATGCAAAAGACCATGCATAAAGGTAGATGGCATGAATACACCAATTGGCAATCACAGCAGATCCTCTAAGCCTCAGACCATGCTTAAACAACATCAGCACAGCAAGATTTGGGGTTCAGACTAAGAACACAGCTGTCTTTGTGGAGTAGGATGCATATGGCCTTTTCATAATCATGACACGCGTGATATACGTAAAGGAAAAAAGCAGTGAAAATAGTTTCCAGAGAGAACGAAAGGGAAAGTACTTGCCAAATCTTGTGAAGAGCGGCATAAGCTGATAGGTAGAAGATGAAGGATGATGTATACTCACTGGTAACGCATTGCAGGAGATTATAGGCAAATGATAAAAATGGTTTTCTTTCCTACAGGAAAAATCTATTAAGTAGTAGTGATGACATAGCACCTCTTGTACAGCACTGAAAATGTTTGCTGAAAGAGGTGAAACCATCCAGCAGTGCACAGAACTGTTCTCTGCACCTGTGATTCCAACACAGCCACCTCCCCTCTTTACCATTACTTCTACCACTTCTGTGAAATCACTTAAATCTTAAATTAATTCCCAGTCCTGCAGTCCAATCAATGAGTGTATATTTTCAAAATCATGGCGTGATGCACATGCAGACATCTGCCAGCACAGTTCATAAATTCATATTGGATTAAGACATTTATCAGATCTGTACAGCAGACATCTTTCATTGTATGTGTCACTGCTGCACGCTGATTGACCTCTGGCCATCTCTGCAGCTGGCACAGGAACAGCCAATACCAAAGTGATCGCCACAAGAAAAATTCTATTGAATTTGTAGATAATTTTTTCGTTAAAATAATACCTGTACTATGCTGTTCCAATCCTCATCTCACCGAGATCACAATAGATGCCTTTCCCCTTGGTTCATCGATATGTAGATATACATTCTCCCCACCATGTCACGATGTTTGGCTCATATTAGTGACAGTGAAGAGAAATTCCCTGAAATATCACAAGATACACCAACATGGAGAGACACCAAGTGTAATCAGGACAGAACCTCTTTGTTTTCCCTAGTTTTCAGTAGCATCAATGTTTTAGTTGTTGGTTTGAGTGTGTGGTTCCCTGCCATACATATCAGATCATCCCTCTCCTTATTTCCCCAGGTACTGCTGGAAGAGAGCAGAAGAATGTGTTGCGCTCTGCATTGCTCAGGATCCAAAACGCAAGCAGCCTTATACCTAGCTCCTTTGCCAGTTGACTTTGATGATAACTAAGTTTCAACCTACTTGTCTTATCTTAATGATCTTTTAGTCAGAATGCCTGGAAATTTGAATAGTCTAGCATAATGATTACATAGAATTAAGTGGAGTCAAGCACTATGCCCAATTAAAACTTTTTTTCCCAAGTAGTTAAAAGTTTCAGCAAGATCTACAATTGGTAATTTATTTTTTTTTAAACAAACCAAACAATAGTTCTTATCTGGGAAATGAAAACAGATCCAAGTAGCAGGATTACTTACATAATGTATATGATCTAGAGTAAGTTAAAGGCTTTTCAAATGCAGGTCTCTGCCTCAAGATGTAGAAAAGGAGATAGGACAAATACTATTATGCCCGGTTAGATAACACTATTCACTTCTTTTTCTCAGTTTTCTCATTTGTAAAAAAATGGGTTACTCAGCCCACAGGAGGGGAGCTTTAATTGGCAGTAGCTCACAGATCTTCCCAGATCTTTGGCTAAAAAGCCCTTCAAAAACCAAAACAAACTATATCTGCTGCACCGCTTGAGGACTTCAATTCTTTGTGAAGAGAGGAAGGTGCATTAGTAAAGGAGGAAGCAACAGTACTTGCAACAACAACAAGCCTTACTTAGATCACCATTGTACTTGCTTCAGGTAACTTGCGGCACTGTCCAATTTGGTAAACTGATAGTATTAATCTGGTTAACAGTAACACACCACACGTACCATGCTGGATGCTGTCTAAGCACTACACTGTCAAGAACACAGCGCAGCAATATGACTTACACAGGAGCATTCAAGTCATGGATGTTCCTGTGCAGCAGAAATCACAAGTCGAAGTAGTCCAAGAAATGTGTTGAGGGACAAGGGGAGGGTGGGGGTGGGGGTGGTGAATAATCAGTTTTTACTAAATGATGCTTCTTTTTGAACAATGAGGCTTCTTATAGGAATAGCAAATTATCTTTTCCTGCTTTTGTTACAGGAACCCTCCAGGGGGGTTTTGTTTGGTTTGGTTCTGTGTTTAAAAAAACCACATATTGTCCTTTACATTATTAACATCAGAAACAGGTTGATAATATCTGCAGGCATTCATGCAATTACATGTTTGAGAAGGCAAAAAGTTAGCATTTCTCGATTTTATTTTTTTGTAATTCTAATTAGGTTCATAAAATATTTCTTTACTATATCTGTAACCTACAAAGCTCATTAAACTGAGATGTCATGTGTTTTATTCAAATGTTCATTCTTCTGATGAGCCTCAGATGACTTGTCTTTAACCTATATTTTATATTTAAGTTCACTAGCTTTTCTAGTAAAACACACAGCAGAACTTTACAGCTACATCCTCCTAATAACAGGGTACCTAATTTAGAAAGTTGAGCCCAGTCCTTAAGGTCATTATGGGCATGCAGTATCACACTTGAAAAGGAACTGTAACACTCCCTTGGAACAAGGGAGGCATTTATCTGATTATCCCTGGCATTGGTGCGTCTGTAGAATCGCCTACTGCCTGAGCCAACATCCATGGTTGAGGGATTCAGGATAGCAAAGTACTGTATTTTTAGTCTACCATTTCTGGGGTAACCACTGCAGTGCTACTTATAGATTTACTTTATATCACAGAAGTGTTTCGATATTTCACACTGAGTAAGTGGATAAAACACAGCAACACTTAAAACAATATCCAGAACAACTGACAGCTCTTCATCTGTCCAGCAACACTGTCAACCACAGAGATTTCAGAATAAAAATTAAGGCACCTCTGAATTAGGTACGTCCCAGCTTGAGAGAATTAAGATGTTAATTTTAAGGCTCCATTCAAACTGTATTTGTGATGAAGTCCTACCATGACACCTAATGCTACCAAAGTCCTGTGCTAGTTGCTTCAAATCAGAGGAGCTGCTGTCATCTAAAAATTAGGTAAGAGGTGTCCAGTCCCATAAGTATGCTTAAGAATCAGGATCAAACTAGCATGAGAAGACTTATTAAATTCCCTAGATACCAACTACTCAAAGAAGAGGACTTCACATTCTAGTGTCTCTTTTGAGAATTATTTCACAGAGTCACTTTGCAGTTGTTCTGTTCTCCCCCACCCTGTGCAATTCAATAGTTTTGTGGTAGCCAGAGCACAAACAAGAGCACAGAGAGAACTTGTCGTTTACTCCTTCCACGATGCTTAACCACTGTGATTTAGAAACCTGCAACTTCTTTTTTTCCAAGTTTTCAAAGAGTTCCAGGGGGCTCCTTATCAGTCAGCAAATCTTCTTCAGGTGCTTTATTCTTCCTCCATATTACATACATTGTAAACTCTCCGTACACCAGTACATTTATAATTACATGCACCCATGCTCCTCTGCCTATGAGGAAGTTGGCCAGTTGCAAGTGTGGTTCCTGGAGTCCTTTTAGCCGTTAGCGCTGTTTCTGTGCACATGTGGGCAGCTCAGTAGATGCTTTGGCACCAGAGATGCTGGGATCACAGTCTGAGGACTCCAGTCCTTGCCCCATTAGGGATCTTGCCCCATTAGGGATTTCAGGTTCAGGCCAGTGGCAAAGGCTTAGTTATGCATGTTGTCTGCAAAGTGTCCTAATGCACTCCTGTTGACAGTGTGCTTGTTCATGCGTGTCCATGACAAAACACCAGCACAAGACCATGTCCTGTGCATACGTGGCTCTTTACAACTCTTTCTATACAAGGTGCACCTGCAGCCCGATTTGGGAACCAATTTTTCATCTGAATTGTACAGAAATTGTGTCACCTCATAGTTAAATTTATTGCATCTTGGCAGGGTTGTGCTAACCTCATTAGTACAGTATTGCATAGACAATCCATCTGTTGCTCGCTGTTTCTCCGAGACCCAAAAGCAAAGCTTTCACACAAATATATATTCTAAGCAGTGTTACAATAAAGCCTACACAGACCAGAAGCCATGCCTGCACCGTGCTTCATAAATGAATTATTACCTTAAACACAGGCAGGATTGTCTGGAATCACAAGCTGCAGCTGACTTGAAAGCTTAGAAACACACACAGAGGAATTTTGAGTCCACCTACAAGCATCCACAGAGAGTTATTCCAAACCTGAATCTCACCTATCCTGGAAGGCAGCAGGAGCTTTCCCCTTCACTTCAAATGGGAAAGGTAATTGGGCCCAATCCTGCCAATTGCTGAGGAAAGTATCAAGAGGGGCTGTGGTTGTTCAATGCCTTTAAAATGGTTAATCCCAAAGAGAAAACTGGTAAATTTCATAAAGAGAAAATTTCGTAAATAGAGAAATAAAACACTCCTTTTTAGCTATTGATATATTTTGATTTAAATGCTATAGTGAGCGATATAAGCATTATTATAGTACTTCAAATTTAACAACTAACTTCTACCTTACAGTCAGTTTTTCAGTTAATATTAATTAGCAATACAGATCAAAAATATTTAAGGTAATTAGTGTCTCCGATTGCCATGAGGCTAGACAGGTCTGACCTGATAAGTTACTTATGTTCTTATTTTGAGCTATGCTGACTTATATGAATTATGGAAATACACTGGTAATATCTCACTATATTACTGTTTATAAAGTGTTGAAATATGAGACAGTAACAAAAATGTCTTGATTAGCAAGGTTACATTATACATCGACACCAGTTCAAAACAACTCTCATTGCTTGAAGTAATCATAATACTTAAGAAAATAAATAACCCAGTAAATAAAGCTTAAGTCTTCACCAGCTGTTTCTGTAATATTGAAATAAGACCTATAAAAAGCAACTTTATGCAAAACATGTACATTTGTGGTTCTGAAAAAACTACAAAAGGAAAACACTGACTCTCACACATCATGTAGTAAACACATCTGAGATCAGAGATCAACAGCAGAGCTCAAGACTGTCCAGTTTTTAAAAATAAAAAAATAACAGAACAGTTAAAGCAAGATCATGATCTAATGCTAACTACATTTCATCTTCCAAAGCATAAATTGACAGCTTGTAAAAGTCAAGAGCAGAACTCTTCTTCCTCCATGCTTGCTTTATTTTTAGGTTTTGCTTGTTTCTTTGAAGTAACAAATTCTATCAGGGGCAGAAAACCAGACTAGGTGGATCAGTAAACTAGTAAAATAAGGTGTGTTGTAGCAAACTCTTTGCTTAAACCCACACAGCATTTGCTCACATCTATAAACCAGTCTTATCTTATTGCATGAAGATAATAAATGCTTTCATTCTGTTGTTAAAAGCATTCATTATACTCTGATTTCAGATCTCCAGCCACATTTATTTTATAGAACAGATGCACATAAAGCAACCCTCCCACCACCATTGCCTGTGAGTAAAGGAAGAGAAATTACTCAAGCTATTTAACAAATTCCTACAAAACCAGCTTATGTTCATAATGCAGACATTTCAGAGCTTTGAGGTTTCTTTTTATTTATTTTATTTGCAGTTAATAATCCAGAATGCACTTGAATGAACACTTCAGTCTAATGAAGGTCATCACCTCCTGGTCTGTTTCTGATTGAATACACAAGTACTTGTAGAGCTACTCTTCAACATCAAACTATGCAGAATAATAGCTGCTTGGATCCAAAGTAACACTTGATTTTAAAGTAATAATGAAGAGACCAAAATTGTTATCTGCCCTGCAGCTCAGAGTAGATACCTGACATACAGGTCCTAGCACTATCTGATGTTACTGGAATTTTGATTGAAGCTTGAAACCTAGGGTAATATACACACACACTGTCAGACAGTTCGTATTCAGCACCCTTCCAGAAAAAAGCCCTGAAATAACAAAGTCATCAAGCAAATCAATCCCTATGCACACATCATAGTCCCTCCTGCAGAAAGCTCTCCTCTTTGAGGTCTGTAAATTGTAGAACAATTCTTTCTAAATTGCTGTTGCTCTAGGTTAAATATATCTCCAAGATTTTAGGCCCAGTAATTCAGTATAAGTTGCATTAGAACCACATGCTGGAAGAGTTGAACATGGTATTTTTAAAGACTTGCTAAATAGGTGC